TTCATGTTTGACAGTGGGCAAAGTGTACTTGGGGTTCAATCTTTGTCCACTAGGACGTCTAACGTAATGAACACCATTTGATCCAAACATATTGAACTTGGATTCGTCACTGAAACGTACCCTCTTCCAGTCACAGATGCTCCAATCAAGATGCAACCGTGCAGATTGTAATCGGTCCTTACGGTTTTTCCTCGAGATTAGCGGATTCTTACTCGGGCGACGTGCAAATAACTTCAAATCATTTAATCTTCTACTTATAGTTTTCAGAAACACTGAAAATTCCTTTTGTCTCGATTTCGGCTTTTATTTGTCTTGGGGTTTTAAACGGATCTTTGGACGAAATTACTTTTATTAATCTAACTGATCTAGCATTTAGTTTTCTAGGTCAACCACTTCTCTTAGAGGCTTCCAAGATACCTTTTTGTTTATATTTGTTCAATATTGCCCAAACTGCTTTACGCTTCAGCTTCAAATTTTTGTCAATGTCGACTTGACGTTGACTATCTTTGTATAACTCAATGATCTTAGTTTTCACATCGAAAGAAATTTCTTAAAATCACTCAACTTATTCCACAATACTTGATGAACACAAACTAATCCTCTTCTGACACGAAACTGTACTAAACTAATGTTGAAAAGCATTTGTCTACATATTTTTGTCCCTCATAAAAAAGTGCTTATATTCAGACTTGTATTGTGTTGATTGCAGATAATGTAAAAACAGGGAATTTAGTTTTTTTACTAATAAGGCATTTGTTTATGGAGCAACGAAGTATGAATTCGTTTTCTAAAGGTATTTAGGTAAATATTCATATTCGTCTATATACTTTTGTCCATTACTGTACATCACGAAAAACCATATCACTCATTTCATTCCGTCGGTCTGTCCGCTAATTTCATAATCGCCTATAACATGAAAACAACTGTTTGGATCTTGATGGAATTTTCGCACAAGGTTACCGCTATGCCATGGATGAAAAATCTTTGAAAATCGGTCTCGTGTTGGCGGAGCTAGGGGCGAAAACACGAAAAAATGAATATCGCGCAGAATTCGATTTCGACGTTTCAGAGGCTTCCGATCATTTTCGAAATTTTTTTGTAGGAATTCAAACTTGCAGATTGTACGGGGTAGGGGGTTGTAAATGTAACGTATTTAGTAATAGTCAAAGCAATTTCTATTAGAAGAAGCTTCTGATCCCGGTAACAACGGGAAAATTAAATAATAAAAGTCCGATGTATAATGCGTGCAAATTCCAATCGCGATATTTTCTGACCGGAAAGAGGAGTTGCAAATCTTTGAGAACACGTACAGGGTTCGACCGGTATATTTCTTTTAATTATCCACTTTTACAAGTTATGTTTTTTTGCCAAGTTTGGAGCTATGTCAGATTCTCAATTTTTAATCTTGAACGTTATTCTATGCATCTTTTAGATCTTTGAACTATCTTAAAAAAAATAATTTCTCAAATTTTTAGAAAGTTGGCGATAACTCAAATTGTCGAATTTTTAACTTCCCGCAGTAAATGTCTTTCAACTCGACCTCGTATTTTTTTTTAGTTGATTTGAATTTGGATAAAATTTTCCACGTTGCAAAGCAACTGTCCACCAGTTTATTTTAGCAATATTTTGATATTATTAGTACGTACCACTTTAGCGTTCTGCGATTCTTTTGTAAATGATGAATTACCTGTTTTTATTTATAGATAAACATATTTTTTTCTGAATGTTTTGATCCCTAAATGGGATCGTCTAACCTTTAGTTTGTGTTACTCCATTTATGATGGTTCTCTGAATATTTCGTCAAGTAGATTGACCCAGTACTTATGACGCATGGATATACAACAGACACGGACTGACATACAGTCTCGGGACCCTTTCGTACCGATGGCGGTATAGCTCTCTTCTACCGCTACCGCAACAGGCTTTGTTCACCAGAGCTCTCCTCCATGATGCCGCCGCGCGATGTGCCTTCCAGACAGACCCGCCTGACTCGGAGCTCCCATTCTAACAGTGTGGAACTTCGTACATCCGGAACTGGCCAACCTCGACACCCTTTGTCATGAGGGTGTCGAGATTGTAAAAAAATCTACAAGAAGAAGCTATTCCCAGTTCTTCTAACCTTAGGCAGTTCAAAAATTGGGTTAAGAAAATTTCTTTAGGACCCTCATAGGTGCCGCCTTGTCCTGGCATTTAGGCTTCTGCCTGCGTGGCTGCTTCGGTGTAAAAAAAATGAAAAACTCAGACTGGACTTGTGTGGTGGAGATATCTTCAAGCAGTAGAAAACATGAAAATCGAAGTTCGAATATTATTGCGAGTTTTTAATACATACATTTTTTAGGTTGTCGTAGATTGTGAAAATTGACTCAGAGGGTCGGGAAATAAAACCGCTGGAACATAATGTTATAACTAGAGACTGGATTATATGCATTTACATATTAGCATATGTATTTGCATGTTAAGCTTATTTTCGCTTGTTGTTGCATATTTCAACAAAAATCTAGAGATGTTGCATGTTTTTGCTATAATTACAACTTTTTCGGCATGTTACGTTCGAGTGAATTCGCGCCTACATTTTATGTGCGAATATGCTTCCAATGAACGTCTAGCCTAAGCAGCCGCGTATCAAGGCCCGAGTAGACCACTGACGATCCACGACACCTTTCATTTCTCTTATTTACCTGCCAGTATCAAAAAGCTTGAAACTCAAGATTTGGCGTTGACTCGGTGTATTCAATTAATGTGAAAAATCCGGCAAATGAACTCGACCTATAATAATATTTTGAGTGATGGAAGGCACAGTCTTTGCTGGTGAACATTTGGAATAATACCTCATTGTTTGTGTTTACAAAAATAACAACATGTTAAATAGTCGTCTCACTTACAGATCTCATAGATAAGTCATTCAAGTGCTTAGTTATTAATTTTATTTGTAAGCCGATTTATAAATAAAAGTATAAAAATCATTGTTTTATTGTTATTTAATTTTGCATATTTTGATACTTTCATGCATATTTTAACCATGTTTCATGCATATTTCAAACTTATGTTGCATATTATCCAGTCTCTAGTTATAACGTTTTAGAGATTCCTGCTCATTTTCAGACATTGGAGGTTGGAAGCTGTATGCGGTAAACGGTTGTAAATTATTGCATTTATGGTGACAGTGAAAGATTATTATTATTAAGAAGCTGCTGGTCTCAGTGACACTATGCACCTGTTAGACATAAAGTCACTCATATTTTCCCTACATCTGACATGGAAACAGAAATTTGATAGATTTGCTTTATATAGTTAGATATGCAGAGGTCGAAAATTCATCGTACCTAAGTGAACCGACGTAATCACGATTCGATTTCGCCTTTTGAAACGATTTGCCTCATCCCCTTTCTTTGAAACCTCCAACAAAGCCGTAGGAAGCATAGAGTCAATCTACTTTACGTTTATCACATCGATTAATTTTCCGTGCTTCGCTCAGGATTTATTTTTCATATTCTCAGCCCTAGACTAAAGTTTCAAGGGCGCGTTATGTGAGGAAATGCATCGGTCTATTGCTAAAAGTGTTTTAGCAAACATAGTATTTACCAAATACGAAATGAAAGGTATCTAAATACATTATACATTTAAAAAAGTATTTTAAATACGAAATGAAAATACGTATTTTGTATCTGTAATTCAGATACTTGAATCAGTCATATCTCTGTTCGGCTATAGCCTTATCAGCACAAGCCGATGGTAAAGTAACTTGTAGTATTGCTTTACGTTATCTACTGATTCTCAGTAGCCAGCGCTGCTTATCGCAACCTTCAGATATTGCTATCATAGAAATCCATTTTTACAGTAATCTAGTCTGGTAAGTATTCTTTACATTAGCAAAATTTCCATTTCGTGTTTATCTCACACTATGTTAATCTGCAACTCAAGTTATTGGAAAACATGAATGCTTAGAAAACGTAGGGGACTGACGCAAGTTTGGTCAGGATATAAAGAAGAAAATACTTTTAACTCGCAACGCATTTTCCTATGAAATCTTCACAGTTAGCATATTGACATCGATACAACATGAGCATAACGGAGATTAAAAGTTGCCTCATTGATCTCTTTACTTAGGCAGGCATGACCGAACTTATTGAATACTGCGTTTGTTGTGAATAATTATTATAATAAACACTCCTGGCTTGACGCAGTTTGTTGTGTTAAACGGTAACCACGGAAGAAATTCGTAGTGCCTTGGTAGGTGCTAATAATTTTGCAGCTCCTGGTTTGGATGGCATAAATACTTACTAGTGCAAGAAATTTCCCAGTGGTCACTGGCATTTAGCTAGAATTTTTAACTTGTGGCTAAATCAGGAGCAGCCAATTCCACCTTGGTTTGTCGAGGGCCGAACCGTGCTACTCTCAAAAACCGGAGGTTTGTCGGATCCCAACAATTGTAGACCAATAACATGTCTCACTGCATTGAACAAGATTTTACTAGAATTTTATAAATGCGTATACTCGAAAGCTGTTAACCCGGTAAACACCTCAGCAGATATGAGCAGAGAAAGGAGTAGCTGGCTCTCAGGAGAACCTTTGATTCACCGGTGTGTCACACAGGACTCGGAGCAGTACAAGCGAAACCCTTCAATGGCATGGATTGACTATCGTACGTCATTTGACATGACGTCTCATAAACTCATTGTGCGTCTGTTGGAATGACGTGCGGTTGGAGACCAAATAGTGAGTTGGATTAAACAACTGATGCCGCTCTGGAAGACTAGGTTCACAATCACCTCTGGTGATCTGGTTCGAACAGACAGAATAAGGGTCTTCCAAGAGAACTCTCTAAGTCCTCTGCTCTTCTGCATCTCATTTTCCAGCTGTCTGTTACGCTGGAAAATGTGAGAGTATTCTGCTATAACCGGAAGCACAAGGAAACCTCTCTTATATGAATGACCTAAACTTTACTCCTCTGTTCCACGCGATTCACAGTAGTCGCTCAGAAATATAGTCGTACTGTTGGTATGGAATTCGGGGTCAGACAAATTAATGATCTATGGTTCATCTCGAGAAAGGACTATACGGTGATGGTAAAGAGGAGGAGCAGCTCGTGGATGGGTGCATTTTGTATCATCTTCATGCTGGAGATACATATACCTTCATTGGAGTGGCGCAGCTCCATATCCAGGAGGTCAAAGTGGTCAAAAGAGTCTGTCCGCCGCAAGTACCTGCATCAACTAAGGCAGATCTGGTCATCAGAGCTGTCTGGTCAGAACAACGCGAACTGCGACAAATATGTTTGTGTTAGCCTTTTTATTGTACACCTTCGGGGCCATCCACTGAGTAGTGGACCAGCTGCGACAACCCGACACTAAATCCGTAAAAGGATTAACATCCTCTTTTCCAGTTATACACCTCCCAAGACATCAGGGAGGGTGTGGACTATTGAGTTTGGAGTGTCTGCAACACAGGGTGGTATTGAGCACAGCCTGTGAGATTGTGAGGAGCACCAATCCCCTCATCCGATTTGAGCATGAGCACAAGATTTCGGAAAAGCTTTTATTTTTGGAGCAGCGAATCTAGCAGCCGAAGAGCTCAGTCTCATACTTAACTTCAAGCGGGAATGTCAGCAGTGCATTACAGAGCTGACTCCTGCTCGACTGAAGAGCCACATAAAGTATGATGAAGCAAACTACTAAGGCAATCCATCGGTTCGGAAACTGCTCATTTAACCAATTTCTAACACTTAGTCTGAAATGTGCTGGGCACCCGTCATGCTGAAAAATCAAGGCGGACCAATCCCATGGCCAGCACGCAGTGCCGATTTCACACCTATGGACTTTTTGTGTGGGGTCGCATGGAAACTTTAGTATACTCTGATCAAAATCCTGTACCCACAATAGAAGACCTCAGAAACAGGAAATTCAAGCCTCTCTTAGGAATTCGGCGGTAGTAAAATCAGCTGTCATAAAAAAATAAAAAAATGTAGTTTCAAACAAATTATCCTGTATTAAGGTATGCTTTTGGGACCTCGGTTGGCCGCGTGGGTCAGAGTGTCGTGCTACTGATCAGCCGGCCGGTCGGGCCGCGAGTTCGAATCTCGCCTTCGCCATGGATGTTGTGACGTCGTGTGTTTGTCCATAATTAGAAATGTAAATATAACAACCTAGTTTCTGGCTGCATGGCTTGGTCCTAAAGCAAAAAAAAAGGTATGCTTTTGTAAGTGTAGTATTTTCATTGCTTTTTCCTTCCTCCTTTTATAATAGTCATATTTTTGCCAATTCTTAATCGATTTGTGATTTTTATACCTCATTTGAAAGGTAATGAAACGTAGATGTTTTCTAATTATTTTGTGCGAAAAAATTGTTTTAGTAAAATGAAGCTTTTGAGATGGACGAAGATTTTTTTGAAGCTTACTGCATGAGATAACGTCAATAATGTACATTTGAGCATGCATTTTCGTATTTTAGAATATTTTTATTGTAAAACAAAAGAAATATCAAATGAAACACCCAATTTTCAAGTTTTATGACTTGGTTAACGTATAAAGGACGTTAATTTTATAAAATCTTAAAAATTAGTATAATTCGAAAACGACTAATTTTCGGACAGTAGTTCCTATAGTAAAATCGACTCAGATTGGCTTGTACTATCTCCCAACACCGGCTCCGCATCTAATTTCCCGTCACCCTGTATAAGATACATTACAGGGGTTGAGATTTAGCCTCTTAAAAATATTAAAGTGAAAACGAGTTGAACAAGAAAACAAAACGTAAAGTGAATAAAATGATTCACAAATTGAATTGAATATTGCCGACTCACTTATCAAAAAGTTGTATGTGGTAAGCAAAGCAAAAAAACATTGATAGATCAAAAATGCAAATCAAATATTATATATTAATGACAAATCCATTTTCTTGAACAACCGGTTCTTTTGTAAATTAAGTAAATGCCTTTACAACCACTTTTGAATCTGTGGAAAGAATAGTGTTTTGCAATTTATTGGAATGGCTAAGCAGTAATCGTTTCTAACCTGTAGATTATGCACCGATTCCCTTGGAATAAGTTTGTTACTGTAATATTGAGGGGATCAAGTTAGCACGATCCTGTAACGTTTAAAATTAAGTATTTGAAAAAGTTTTGAACATTTAACCCTGCAAGATTGCGTTGTAAATGCGATACATGATCAAACTTTCCTAAGTTTTCATTAAACATTACACAAATGTCGTGCATTATTTGCATACAGTTTTTGCGTTGATAGAAATCAATAAGTGTAGTAGATGCATATGCTATATGAATATCAAGTCCCTGGTATGATTTAATATTAATGTTTTTATGTGAGGTTGTTTACAAAAAGAAGCCTGAGAGATAGATAACATTTTTTTCAACACAATTGTCAATTTTTCAAGTGGACTAGCGTACTCATCAATTATGCATTTGTATCCATATCTATGGAACATCAAGTGCATTTCACGCTCTGTATTGTGTGGTATCGAAGTACATGGAAAAGGGTAAAGTGGAATGGAAGGTTGCCCCTCGTGACGGCGGTTAGCGCATGGTGTCTAGAGTCTGGCGACTGAGTCGGTGCATACTTTGCTACGAGGAAATGGGAAATGGGAATGTCTGGCGGCTTGTCATTATCGGTAGTTCAACGGTTCGCGGAGAGTTGAAGACACCACTTACGGTGTCGTTCGTTCGGCTTCAAATTTACGCCGTCCGCTGTCTCCTATGAACTCTTGGATAAGTTAGTTTAATTGGGATATTGCAACTTGATGCCTCGCATATTACGACTTAGATCATAGAGATAACTAGAATTCAATGGGATTATATTATTGATGGTAAACGGAACAAGTTCTCATCAAGATATGCAGAAAATTTTGCTAGGTAACTTTACACCAAACGTCCAAGATGAAGAAGAACTATGACATATTGATATAAGTGATTCGGAGAAGAATTGTAGGGGGATTAAAAGACTCCCAAAATGGGATATATTTAATCGGCAGCAGTTGAACAATTATTGCGTAAAAATTTTCCTAAATTAAATTTCTTAACGATAACAGTGAATATAAAAAAATTGCCTAAAAGTTAAAGCCTTCGTAGACATATGGATCCCATTTTTCAGGTTTTCCCATTCCTTACAACTTTTCAGTAGATCACTCAGACCAATAGATCATAGTTTCTTTTTGAACATGAACAGTAAGTGATTTTTATAACTTTTACGCTTACTCCAGCATCATTTTTGTTCCTCTGAATGGGACCTTTTCATTTACCTTCAACAATATAACTGTCTTAAAATCCGATTATACAATCTTTACTATAATACAAGTGGCATTTTCATTGAGTCACCCTGTATACCTGTAGACTTAACAGTCCGGGGTGAATAGTGTTTCCTAGCATGGTTGTTTGAACTAAAATTGTTCCATATCATGGGTATAGTCGTTGGATCATGCATTCCAGATGATGAGACAGACTCAAGAATAAGTGGAACTGATCAACCCATCTATGGTAAAATCATTTGATGCAATATTGCTAAGTGTTCGTTTTTCAGTCATATATTTTATATGAATTTATTTGTTGAGTAAAGAATATTAACCTACCCGAAAAGCTACATTTACGATGAATCTAAACTTGCGAGATTATACAAGGACGAGGTTTTAGGAGGTATCTTTAGCAGACTGTCTCAGAAGGAGGGTGATATTTTTCACTCGCGGGTATGTATGTATCCAAAAAATTCTATTTTCCGGGCTATATGCCAAACGGATTTGTACATATAAGGTGTAGTTCGAGTGATCTTAGCCGTGCGAGTGACAGTGGCAAAATGGAGGATTTTAATATAAGTACCAACCTTAAAAGTCCTGCAGCGTAAACGGCTTAGTGGATTTTGACATACTAGATGTCTCACCTTAGAAGTGCGAGTGTCATTGGCTATATTAAGATTTCATAACAACAAAATGGCGGGTTTTAATAAAAAAGTTTAACTTTGAAATTCGTATCTCACGGGCTACAGCTGAACATTTGAGGTATTGTTGAAACCATATTGTAAAGTCAAAATGGCGAACTTTGAGTTTGAAATTTCTATTTCACGGGCTACAGCTTAAATGACTTGATGAATTTTGACATACGATGTTTCTCTAGATTGGTCTTGACAGCTCGAGTGACACTAGGTATTCCAAAACTTAAAAACGTAAAATCAAAATGACGGATATTAAGCTTGAAATGGTTATTTCACGAGTTACAGACCATATGGCTTGATGGAGTTTGACATTTTAAGTGTGCTTAGATTCATCTTGATAGCACAGATAATGTCATCATTTCCAGTTACTGTAGTCGGACTTTTTTGTATTTTTTAAAAACATACCTGTGCTGATTACATTAATAGCATTGAATTCAAAAACTGAGACAGTACTCGTATGCAGCGATTTAGAAAACGTAATCAGTAACAAGTTTCAAGCAAATTACTAACAAAGAAATGGGTTAATCAATAGGTAACCTCTATAGCAAAAACCATTTTAAAAAATAACTACCTCCATACATGCACCTTGGAACGAGGATAACACTTTTTATCACATCCATTTAAAACCGTTGACAGTAAAAATGGTCTATCCAAAGGATGGTGTTAAATTGATCTAATTTGATGACCTAGGTCTGCCGGTACCCTTGTCTGACACTATTCAATTTAAGTTTCGCTTTGAATCAAGGCAATAGACATTATTTTTTATCTTTCTTGGTTATATAAAAAGTGTATCTCATTTAACACTTTCCTAATTTTTTTAAGAACGCGTTTCACTGCTAAGGTCATTGCTTAAACATTTACACCTTTTGCAGTATCTGTGATATATCTTTGTGGCCGTGAACTTTTTAAAAATAATCGGTATGTCATTTGATTGTTTGGATAATGCGCATTTGAATTTCCAAAGGTTCTGTTTTTCATCCTTTGGTTTTAATTAAAATTAAGTAACATGGATGAAGAACCAACACTTTATTATAAGTATTGTATCGTACCTGTGCAAAAATATCATACGGAGAGTACCTGATACAGTATTTTTTCGCATTCACCAAGATGATAAGGTGAGGGAAAGTGATGTAAAATTCTGAAAAGGGATAGTAACTCCAATAAGTGATTTTATTGTTGTGGAGATCATGTTAACATAAGTACAAAACAGAGAAGTATAATACCATTTTGCGCAAATATGATTAGCTTTTATTTAACTTGAATTATAAAGATTATAATGTTTTTCCAGTTGCCATTTAAAGAAGCTAACTCTACTTACAATACTGTAAAGCACTTTCAGTCAAT